ATTAATAATAATAATGATAATAATAATAAATAAATGTGAAATATAAATTTGTAAAAGTTTTTTAAATTATCATTCTTTTATGCGGGGGACCGAGCCTCCCCGCAACCCCCCTTTCCCGCCCTCGCGCCACCGCTTTGCGCACTTAATAGGAAAAATAGTATACGATACGCGTGCCCTGCGTAGATGTACCCACACTTGCTTTTTTAGCAAGCCCGTTTCGTTCGTGCGCGAATCAACTACTTTGCGCACTTGTATCGTAATGTACTATTAATCAATTCTAGGAGTCCTGAGATGTGTACTCGCTCTTCATTTTACTTTCCCCCGACTTGCCAAGAAATGCATTAGGCTTACGGTTACAGTGGATTTGAGTGGATGCGTATTCGGACAAATGAAACATCTGAAGATTACAATGTATACACTCATAAAACTTTGATCACATAAATGTACTCACTAACTGACTTCGTCCGAATACGTGATTGAACCCAATAATCGACAGTGCCTTTTTTTAGACAAGGGGGAATTACGACGCTTGGCAATTGTTTGCATCTCGTTTCGTCGAGCGCGACGTAAGTACTTGTTTCCGTACCCGATTCGATCGAAGTTTGGCTTACCTGCCGTGTTCATGCCAGCCGTGAAGCACTTCTTCAGGCGGCAATGCGGACACCAATTGCGTCTCGCCTTATCGACGGCACAAGATCCGGTGCCGGCTGCAAAGAAAACTAAATCAGAATCACGGGTTCGAGATGAAAGGGAATACGAGTTTCGCGAACCTATGCACGTGAAAACCGCGCCGCGACGCACCGACCGTTTGAAGAAACACGAGCAACCGTCGCAGCAGTAAACACCGTAGTGTTTGCCGTAGGATCGGTCGCCGCAAACCTTGCAGACGAACAGAGTTGGTAACGTTCTTCCTGTCAGGAAGTGGAAAATGCTTTTAATTAATCGTATCTGATCCGTTCCGCAGTCAATTACTTACCCATCCTTATTACAGTAATTTGATAACCGAACGAATCCACTGATATTGAAAATGGTATGAGAGTAACTAATTTATGCCTAGACAGTTTTCAAATTTTGCTCACTTAAAATTAAACACGGCCACTTCAAAATGTGATGAACTTAAATTAGCTAAGAACTATTTCTAGAACTGGACTGAGCATGAAAGGATTCGACTCGACAGGTAGGACTGCGCTGATCGTACTGACCGTAAACGAGCGCAAGAGATCGAGCAGGGGTGTCTGCGGTAGGTGTCGGCGTTGACGGTTGAAGAGGTGCGAACGTCAGCCAGGTCGTCAGACCGCGAAACGATAATATTTGCCGAACACCGTTCGAAGAATCGTACGTGACAGCTTCGAGAGGGACGTCGTCGAGGGTGGTATATACGCGTGACATCGCGTTTTCTTTTACATACAACAGCGGCACAGGACAAGATCGAAAGCTTTATTGCGCGTCGAATAAACTAATTATACAGGAACTGTACAGGAAAAGCTGACACATTTCATCGAAGCGAGTCCATAGTTCGCGCGTCTTGGATTTTCAACGTGCGAGTCAATAGGGCAGTCAACCCTCGTTTTCGAGCCGCGAACTCCTTTATTATTTACAATCGAGTACTCTTTTGTTCGTGAACAACCGAATTGAGATCGATTATTACGTGTAAACCAGCGCGCACACAAGAACAATGTTACATTTTCTAATTCTTCTCTCACTATCTTTCACAAAATCGAATGACCGGGTTCCATCCCGTTTTACTCAGACCCCTTCAAAGATCCTTCCTCGATCTATTCTGGTGACAACATAACATGGTGCGGCAAGTAGTCGACCAATCTTCTATCGTCTTCCGTGCATCACCATCAATTTGCTCAATTTCTTGCAATATGGCAGCCGTTACCGCGAGACTCGCCATCAACATTGATCCCAGGACCCGTCTAGATCGAATTACGTCGAAGCCAACAGCTTCGCGGCTGCGGTCACGTGATGCTGATGGTGATAGGGTGCCTCCTGGCTCCCGTAATACGTCTGCTGCTGATGCTCACTGGTCGCCACACCGAGTTGATGAGGATGTTGGTAGTAAGAGGAATAGGGTTGACCGACGATTCCATCGCAGCTTCGCGGTTCCGTTTTCACGGTGGCCACGCTTCCGGTTGCCAATAGGGAAGTGTGTCCAAGGTAGACCGGTCTGTCCGACGAACTCGACGCGCCGGATGATTTCCCCGCCTCGTTTTGATTTTGATGCAGCTGCTGTTGCTGCTGCTGCTGCTGCTGTTGTTGCTGTTGCTGTTGCTGTTGCTGGCTGCCAGCCAATTCTGCGAATCATACCGCCCATGCGCGTCCAATTGCGATTTCAATGGATAACTCAATTACGAATTATAAGTAAAAAATATTGACTGTATGTTTCTAAAGATGATACAAAATATATATAATATCCAAATATGAACAGTTATTACTATTATTAAAGCACAACGGAAATTCCTGTTGAGATTTTCTAAACTGACATTACAAATTCTTTATTTCGCGTGCAAATTCGTATTTTTAATGGTCAAGTAGGATTCTGAGGAAAGTGCAAAAGTATGAAACAATTGTATGAAAAACCATTTTACCAGTGGACGGAGAAGAAGCGGTAGAAACGGTGGCCGTCTCGTGGTCCACGGTGGACTGCCTTGCGTTTGGTTCGGGTGTCTTCTTCGGTTTTCGTTTCCGCGTCTGAATGCCGTCCTTTCGCATAGCCAACGGTCTGTTCACGCCGTGAAGCTTGAAGTAGAGACCGCAAGCATTGCACACCGGCTCGCCCTCGTTGTTGCGCCTCCAGAGAGTGGTAGTTCGAGTGCCGCAGTTCGTACAGCACAGTCCCAATCGCCTGGTCGCCGTCTGAAATTCCGTAGGTCAGACGTGACATACACAGTGAGTTTCGGAATTATTGGCTTTTCTTTTCTGAATGCAGGATGCATTAATAAAAATAGTAATTGTACGAGACAACGGATTCTTTAATGTAAATTAATGTAATTTTGTTAAAATATACTACTTTTGCTAAAATATACATCATATGAATTTTATACGTGATGCAGCTCGCTGAATTAACGCTCCCTTATATTTTCAAGGTTTTTTATACTGTTCTATATTTGAATAATTGTTAACTCATTATTCCTATGCCAATAATTCTGGAACTCACTGTGAATAAAGGATAGACACATTTGGCAACCAGCTGGTTGAACGCATTTGGAACAATGGAACGGCCCGTTTTAAGAATCTCAAGTAGCTAACGAGCCGAGCGTTGCGTCGAGTGGGACTTACGAATTGACTTCTGTACGTTGACTTACCAGCCGTTTCGAGGGTTTGATCAGCGGCCTGTTCATCCCGTTCATCTTGTGATAAAGTCCGCACGCGTTGCAGAGATAATGCCCGGTGCCGTCTCTCCTCCATAGCGGTGTCGATATAGCGCCGCAGTTGACGCACTCGCGGCCCTCACCGAATTGGAAGTCCATCGCGGTGTCTGGAACGAGAAAGAAATTCGACTTGCGCTCTTCCATCCAGGGCGCTGCTGCTCGGAAATCTTTGGGACCGATGCGGAGTCGCGAGACGCAACGAGAGTCGAGTAGCGGAAAAACAGGAACGAACGAGTGCTCGCGAGAAAGAGCGCGAGTGGCGGAGCAACGCGGCACACTCGAACGCGGCGCGAGTAGTTCGCTTCAAAGAGGCCGCTATCGTTTATCCGTCGCAGATGGCCCATCACCGATACGTGCCATGCCGGTGCGTTCGCCGACCGGGAAAGGAGTGTAGGTTTCCTTTTATCAAGTGCACACACCCCGCACTCTCTGGCTTTTCCTCCCCATTGGTCACCCCAGTCTGGTTAATGTCTACCGTGACCGGCGATTCGAAAGGCTACCGAGTTTAAACGAGGGCAGAGATTCTCGTGCTTCTAAATTATACTCAATATTTACTGTGTCGAAACTAGCGATGATATATATTAAATATTATAATATTATATAATTATTGTATATAAAACGAATGTTGCAAACGTATTATCAGTAAATGTACCACCCCTTCCAAGGCTGAAAGGCATGAAATAAATAATTAATACTACTACTGTGCTAAAAATTGTGAACACTTCTGCTTCTTTATGAGACAGTAGATAGATTCTAATTGCAATGCTTAAATGATAGAAGCGATTTCTGTTTAATAGCAAACCAGACATTCACAGTCTTCCTATAACAAACTATATCACCGTGCAGTGATAATAATAATAAACTGATTGTAAAATATAATACAGGAATATCATGAAATTGTAAGTAGTAAATACATGAGAGAAAGAAAGGAGAAATACATAAATAAACAAGGGTAAAATAATGTGAAAGAGGAAAAGATAACGAAGATCGACGGAACGAGATTGAATTACTCATTGCTGACAAAATTCGGATGAACGCTTAAAAGTGATATAAGGTTTAAAAAAGTTCAGTGAACTAGTAAACTTATTAACAATGTAAAGCAGTTTGTTAATACATTTGAATTAAGCATACGTGATAAAACATGCACAGTACTAACCGTAAGGGGATGCCCGTTGGAATCCGGCTCCGTCATAAGCACGCCAGGAGGACATCATCGCGACGTTCTGAGCGTAGAAGGGTGCTGCCGCGGCTAGACTGGAGTGCGGGTGGCCAGTGTGCGGATGGGCCGCGTGCGGGTGACCGTGGCCGGAATGAGGGCCCATCGCTGCTGCCGCGGCCGCGGCCGCAGCCGCCGATCCGCTCGCGTGGCCGAGCGCGTGGTGCGCGTACGTTTCCACTCCATGCTGCCACGAAGCTGCCGCTGCGGTTTTCTCCCTTTGGGGGAACATTCACAAATTGTGCTGTGCGTTACGAAACAGGGACTGTCACCAGATTTCGACTCGATGGCAAATTCTTTTTCAATTGACACTACGCTTTCAAGTTCAAGTATGTCATTGATATATTTTAATCTAATCTACATGTTTATGAACAGAGATGTTTAATTGCGAATGGAGACTGAACTTACTCTTCTGGACAAAAACGTAACATGTAAATGAACACATGTGATAAAATGCATAACCAATTATTTTCCTGTCGCCAATGTACATTGTGTCCCAAAAAATGTATTCATTCATTAGTGACCCATCACTAACATGTTCTTTTGCTTTTTTCGGATGACAATATTATTCAATGATGCCAAACTTGTCAATAAAGTTATAAACAAAATATCTATGGTGGTCAAAATTGGCATGAATGACCAGCCGATTTATCGCATTGTAATAACCGTACAGAATACAAAGATTCTCAAGATTTTAGCCGGAACGTTAATTTCGAGTTTAGTAATTAATCCTTTTAATGCCGACCGCAAAAGCTGTAAAGCGATCTTATATCTAAATCATTCCTTCTGATTTCTAATGAGCTTAATTTAGATTCGGCGGAAGTAGTCATAGTTGATCAAATCGCTGTTATCGATAAGGTGTTCTTACCAAGCAGGGGACCCGGACCCCGGGAAGGGATGATACTGCGCGGCTGCTGCGGCCGCGGCAGCGGTTGCCGCCGACGGGATGGTCGGTCTCGAAGACGGCACGTAGACCGGCGCTTGGAGATGTTGACCGTGTTGCTGTTGCTGCTGCTGTTGCTGAGACTGCTGCTGGTAGTCGGAGCTGCCGCCGTACCCACCGCTTCCGCTCCCGTGGAACATTATCCCCGAGAGCTAGCACCGCGGCATCTGTTCTATAGACAACACGAATTTCACGGGAACTCTCAATCCGGTCTCTTTTCTAATCACATGACCACGCAATTTTCAACAATCGATTAGATATTACTTGCGCTAAGTTAGAACATAATCGATAAATTTGATATTGGCGAATAAGGATGAGGAGGAGAGGAAAATGTGATAAAAATCTGTATTTTAATGAGAGAAACCCGATTGTTAATTAACGAAGGAGGTTCGAACGAATATTTTGCGTTAGCTCGGTTTAAGGCGAAGTCCTTCGAGACTGGCGGCGCGGCGGCCGTGATCCGGACACCCTGAAGACGGTGCGACGAGGACGGAAACTGGAAGTTCGCCATGGCGCCGCGCGCGAGTGGAGATCGGCTCGATCGACTCCGCTTCGGGTGGGATTGCGGAGGGCAACGGGAGAGAAGGAGAAAGGGTTGCGAGAGGGAGGCGCAGAGGGAACACCGCGGACCTAGGGGGCCGTCGACGAACGAGGAAGAGAAATAGCGAATGCACGCGAGAAAGGGGATGGAGAACAAGCGAGACAGAGAGCGCAGACGCGTCTCCACCTTCGAGGCGCGACTCCGCTCCGAGCGTAGAATCGGAGATAGCGGCCATCGCGACCACGAATAAGATCCGTGTAGGCGGGACCAAAGGTTCGTAGCGGCTTTCGCGTGCGCGAGCAGAACACCGATCGCCCCTTGCCGATTTTCCGATTTCACGTTAATACTTCCGAAATTTCCTATCCGGTTTTCCCTACCACCCTTTATACAAACAATTTATGTAAGCTACGACTAACTGACGCGCTGCGTCTATTATTCTCATAAAAAATCTTGTAAATGAGAAATAATCTATGTAAATTCTTTCTAACTGAAAGAAGTTCTAAAGAAATTGCATGATAAGTGCTATTAGTCTGGTCGTGTAATCAGATTCTAATTGCATCTTATGCAATTACGATATTTTCATCCAAATTGCTTTAATGGATCTCGATCGTTGAATAACGTTCATCCAGTATACCAATCAAGAGATATGAGGCAATTTAAAAAGAGTCGATTGGAACAAACCAGGTTGTACTCGAGTCACGTATCAAGCGCTGATTGTAACTGGCATTGTATCAGCGACAATGAGGCGCGTCACCGATGGAACGCGATTTACGACCGCGAAACCGAGCAGGTTTATCGAGGCTTCACGTCAAACCGCGATAACTACACCCGTGCCTCTTGACGTCTCGACGAGCCCACTTGTACGCGCATTTACGCGATGATATCGTCGCTGCCACAGTTCGTGCCGCGTTCCCCGCGGTGATAAAAGCCTTCCTGATTCGTAGAAAAATTTCGCGTGCCTACAACCGAAGTGGATTTTTCGTTAGGATTAGAATTCATGACAGAGTCACAGTGAACTGAAAGAATTTTAGGTGTACCTAGTTATAAATACTACATTAGAAGTATTCGTCGCAGCCATAAAATCGATTTAGCAAACTCTTTTCTGTCTTGATTCTGATGTAAATAAGTACGTTGTTGGAAGATCATTCTCCGATTTGGAGTCCGAGATTTGACAGAACCGATTTGCAGCCACTGATCACGGCGGTTAGACACTATCGTCGATACGTACGTAGGTACACAAATATTCTAAAGCTTTACACGACAGTATACATGGGATTAGGAGAATTTGTTTTTGTCACAACAGCCACGAAATCTATTTAGACACCCAATTCTTTTCTGTCTTGATTCTTGTGTAGATAAGTACATCGTTGGGAGATTATTCTCCGATTTGAATTCCGGGATTTGACATAGGCGATTCGCGGCCACTGGTTACCGTGGTCGGACACTATCGTCGGTGAGATCGACGCGTGTATGTATTATGTATCTATCGCAGTCACGCGTCGAGAGATCGAACATGGAAGCGCGGATCCTTTAGCGAGCGGTTAAAAAACAGAAGAGATTCGAGAGCAAAGATTCGAGAGACAAGCTACTCGGTTTATTGATACGTCGCGACAGAGGATGCTAGGATCCCGAAGTGGACGACGCTAATGGAAATAACCCCGTCCACTGTTACCTTTTTTTTAGTTCTATCGCCTTTAGTCCGCGTGTCTCATCTCGTCTGATCGTCTCTCCCTCTCGGATCGTCGCACCTCTCTCGGTGGGTTTCTCTCTCGCGCATTCGCGTCGTCTACCTCTCTCGTCATCAGGGCCGGCAGCCTTCGAACGAGATTCGGGAAGGAGAGACGAGACGAAACGGAACGAAAGTACCTAATTAATTGCTTCGGACGTCCACCGGTTCCCTTTCAAACTGGCTCGAACGAGTCTCTTTCCGTTTCTCACGAAACTTGGCGCGCTCTGAAAGCTCTTCGATCGAATAGCGAGGATCGGAGTCGAAGAAGAAGTCAAAGTCCGGTCCGGTACGGCGGGGCCCGGTGTCGCCGGACGGTTAGATGCGAAGGCGCCACGGCGCCGACCGCGTAGAAGGGTTTCCTTGTAGCCCCGTCGTAGCAACGCGACCCACACGCACCCATCTGTCTCCTTCCCTCCGGTCATCGGCCACTTTACCCCTCCGTCTCTCACCGGAACGGATTCGTTACGACCTATTTGTAGTAATATAACCACGGTGCCCGGACCGTGCCTCGCGGTTTAGCTTCATCAAAGCAAAAAAGATAATTCCGTTCTTGAAATTATTTCTACCACCCTTGGCAAATAGATTTTTGCGTATTTGATTAAATTTGCGGTAACAACTTTCAGCGTTTGACGTTGAAACTTTTTATTGCACGTTATAATAATAATAATTATTATTATACTTCATTTCAGCGTTGCAGCTAAGAAATGTGAACTTGGTTTACATTTACTGTCTGAATTTACTCGTTATTTTCTTTCATTCCTCTCTCACACATTTCCTCTCTCTCATTCCTGTTTTGCTTAATTACTTTCTACTTAGCTTTAATTTACTTTACATATACACGCATATGTACACACGTACATGCTGCGCACTATACAGGGTGGTTCACCACATGTTATCACTTCAATTTTTGTTGTTAGTATTGTAAGTAGCAAAGAATGTTTGTATGTAATGTTAAATGATATCGAGAGAGGCACATTCTCGTCACCACTCATGGTACGTTATAATGCTTAAGTATTGATGAAAAACTGGTCACCAATAATGGATCAAGCGAAACGTCCCGACAGTATTTTCTCTTCTTCGGAATGTGTCATTCGATTTTTTTGCGGACCCACCTGATCGAGCAGAGACGTTATGCTAATAACGGGCACTCGTAAAGCAGAACGAAAACTAGCGACGATGGCCCGATTCAAGGTGATCGTATTGCAGTTCCCACCCACCGCAACCGGTTCGTCAATTTGTCTGTCAGTTGACAAAAGAACGGAATACTTAAACAGGCATTAGGCATTCGCCGAGCGTAAACCGAGAGAGGATTCCGAGGCAAGTGGCGCCCGGCGAGCGGTGTGAACACTCCTTTCGGTAACCCGATACCGAAGATGCAAACAGGAGATAAGATTCCTCGGAAATTGCGCTCCGGTCCAGTTTCGGCACGCGCCTCTCACACCCGAGCGCGACGTGCCTCCATTGACAGCCACGCGAGCTTATCGCGGCTCCAGAATCTCTACGAGATCCAACCCGCTTCCGATTCCTCTTTCTCCGTCGTCTCGTTCACCGTTTCAGGTCCCATTAAGCTACGATTGCGATCGATCCGAATACGCCTCAATACATTTCGCGATAATCAGATCTATGTATATACTAATATACAGAAATTTATAGAAACCGTCTACGAATCGACTGGTTTCACACGGGAATAAAATTCATTGAGAATCTTTTATGAATGAAATTCGCTGGTTCACACTAACTTGAAATTCTATTACACTCGCCAAGGATTGAATTCACGTATATGGAGGTTTATATGAATGCGCGGTTACGATTGAGAACAAGAAATCGTTCTGCCCTTTACCGAGACTGAGTAATCCCACGCGGTATGGTAAACTCGTGTACGCAACGGTAAATAGGTTAATACAGAGACGTAGCGAATGGATGTCTGCTTTGTCAGTCGAAGATTAATTCCTCTGGTGCTACATAACCACCATCCGCGACGCGCATACATTTTCTTCGCCGTCGAAGGAAACCGTTGCTCCAAAAGCAACGCTGCCCTCGAGTAAAAATGAGCTAGCTGCTCGCGCCTCGACGTGCGTGACGCCAGATCAAGGTAAGAGCGGAAGTGAATGAAAAAAAGATGGAAAACGAAGGAAAGAGTGTGAGATAGAGACGAGATGAGAGGACGGTTGGCGAAAGGAACAGGGGAACCGAAGAAAGAGCGGAGAAAGGAGGACGGACCTGTACCTGAGTCGCAAGAATTTCTGTTACTTGGACAGACTGTCATGTAAGGAATATCAGTCTATGATCAGTAGGTCGCGGACTTCTTGCATTTGTAGCAAACATAAGTGCGTTGAATTTTTAACGGTGCACTCAATAATTCAGACAGGTGCAAGATATGTATATTAGAAGTTAAGTACGTGTGCTATTATATTCAATAAATCAAATCAAAGCGTATGTAAATTTTATTCTTTAATCTGATATCCTAAATATTTTACTTTCCACACAATTCTAAAGTTTAATAATCGAACTGCATTTATATAAAAATGCGTATGATACCCAACGAAATGCAAAACATCATAAGTAAAATGTGCTTTATTAATCAGTAACAAAAATTTCGATATGAATTTCATTTTTTAAATCAACGTTGCAAGTATTTTATTTTGCATAAAGATGTGCAGTCGTAACTATGATAATAGTATTCGCTACGCTTTATCAGTACAGCTTTTCCTTCGCGTACCTGGCTAGTCGCGACGATAAATGCGAAACGCGTTTGGAAAACGTGTGAAAAATGTGCCGAACGGAACAGATACGAGCATCCGGCACGCGATTACGCGTTAAACTAAGCCGAAGTCCGTTAAAACCGCGTAACGACCTACTATTTTACCGTTCGCAATAAACCTGAGAAGACGTTTTCGAATGTTCAGCCTCTCCACGATAAGCGAACGGAGCCGCAGCGCAGGAAATTCCTCGAATAGTTCTCAATTGTGAGTCAGCGGAAGCTGACCGAAGGATCAAAAGTGATCACGACACCGTCGCTCCGATTCTGTACAACTTTCCTTAATTCTTAATCTCATTTCATAATGTTTCAGGGTACTCTATTAACAGTAATTTTTATTAATAAATAAATATTTTGCAAAGATGGCTGATACGGCGGATGTAATACTGATAGTTTTGCAAAATAAAACTTTTATACAAATATATCTATTTATCATGTAAATAAGAATTGCAACACATACTCGGCTTTCCATTATACGCAGCGTTTATTTGCACGCGCAATTTTTCATTGCAGCTATGAAATCTAGCGTCTTAACGAGTGAAATTTATGAGTAAAACGATCGTCGATGATTTAACTGTTAAGATTCTCAAACATTGATTTCAGTTTTACGTATAAAGGCAAAGAAAATTGTTAAGACTATCTGCGGATGGAAAGTGTTAATTTGCGAGAGGAGAGGTCGACGTAAAATCGGAGCATCGTATTGTCCAATTATTATTATTCGCTGCCAACGCTACGGAATTGTCGCACCTGAAATCTCGAACGCTATCGCGGTTAAGGTTTCGGATCGCGATCGCGCCGAGCCCGTAAATATTAGAAGCGACGAGCGTACACGCGCGTATCCTTATGTATGCACGGGCAAGTATATGCGAGCATGAACCAGTGCAACGAATCTCCCCCATCCGCTAATCGGGAAACGCTTCGAGTCTGCACTCGAATGTCTTGATTCTCACGACTTAGTTAGTCGCAGTTAGTATAAGCTATAATCAATTTGTTACACTGCTCTGTGATAGATACATTTTTGTTACGTAAATCAATTTGTAATAACGCTCCGTGATAGATAAAATTTTTAATTCTTCAACTAGGAACTGGCGAACTTAATCTGGATAAGAGAAAAGCGGACAGGCGATTGATTATTCGATATCAAGACACCGACTCCTCTGTTCTTTTTGTTAATCAGCTTTCGTTCTCTATACGAAACGCGAGAAAAGAACGAGAGGAGAAAAAAGGGGACGAATGAAAAACGAGCGCGATCCGTGACACCCGGTTTGCCTACTTACGCCTACTTGAGACGATCGCCAGCTCCTTTCGTAGCCGAGAAACGCAGCCGTCTCGCATCCCATCCGTGAAAAGCAACGAGATCACGAAAACCTACGTGGAAAATGACGAAAAACGCGATTTTCCAGTTATTATTATATAAATCTTGCACTCGTCCACGAATTATGGTAATCTTGGTTTTGGCTAATCCATTTAGAAAAATACGCTTCAGTAAAAGACTGTCGTTGTTGTTCATAAATATTGGCAATAGACTATGTAATTATTTCCGCAGATTTGGTGCATTTATATATTAGAAAACTGAATACGTACAAATGCAGTAAATGCTGTGTATAACGTCTAAAATTATTATTATATAACAATACTTCGTTCCTAGTAAGATCTCTGTCAAAGACTTAAGAAATGTGATAAAAAACTACTAAATATTTTTATTTCAAGTCTCCTACGACTTTAAATGATACAAGACATATTTATCTGAAGCACGTTTTTTAAACTGATATCGTAAACGTTTCGCACGGAGAATTCGCGGTCTATTAATTATGCTTAAAAACAGTTCGGTTGCCACTTCTGAAGAACGATTTGAGTTACTTTCCACGGGAGGGATTATGTACTTATTATTCAAATCCCGCGGAAAGAGGCAGGAAAACGGAAACTGGACATTCAACTTCGGCCACTGCTCCGGATCCATGCGGGTACCGTTGATAAGAGACAAGAACGGTTGTTGGCCTCAGCGCGATTTAAATATTTATGAATTATAGAGTGGCTCGGCTTGTAGTTGAGAAACTTTTGCGAGCAACAACTTTGAACCGGGAAGCGCGAGCCAACTCTTATATCCCGTTCCCTCAACCTTCCCTATTCATTCCCGGACTCTAAAGGAGATTTATGCAGCCGGCTGTGAACGTCGAGAGAAAAGCTCGTGGCTTGCAGGTATTCGTGCTACTGCGGTTTCCACTGGGAGGATCTACGGCTACGTACTTACAACTGTATTGCCGAGGAATTAACCCTCATCCGTTCCACGACTCAGTTTATTCTGTGCAAACTGATAGAGCATTAGGAAAATGAAATGTTTAAACGTTTGTGAAATATTCTTATATAAAAATGATCGTCAGAATCTTCATTTGATATGTAATAAGGGAATAAGTAAACTTGTCAAATTGATATTGCATTAAGAGATTGAAATAGATAAAAGTTCATGTAATGTTTTGTTCAAAACTGATTTCTGTTCGTCCCTGTTCGTGAAAACCTCAACTAAATTCATCCGATGTGTAATAAGAAAATGTGTCAAATTAGCAGACGGAGCGGACGAGGATGAAACTCACAGTACAAGAAGAACTGTACGGATCCGAGGAGAATTCAGGCTGGGGACTCGGTCATAAAGGCACCGCCGAGCTAGCAGACTGCCGGGTTCTCGACTCGACTTCCGGTTTCACCGTAGAACACGACTTTCCAATAAGGTCGTCGGAATTTTTTGGTTCCGTAGGTAGAAGCTTACCGCGTGTTCAGGTATATGAGACGCAACCTGCACCCCAGTTATCTCTGCGACAATATCTTCGCCTCCGTCGCAACGTCTGCTGTCCCTTCTTCCGTTTTTACATTCGTTCCTCGACGTGGCTCACGAAAGTGGAGCGAAATGGAAAATCGATTCGCCGCGTCGACCGAATCCCGAGAATTCGTGTAACTTTGTAAATTGTAACTTCTTTCCGTGTACTCGTACCAATATACTTTCTCCTGTGAATTCCAGCCTCGCGAGTTTATAACTTTTCTTATCTGATTATTAGACTGCGGAAAACATTTGCAACTACAATTTAGGAAATGATACCTAAATTTCACTCTCTACGAATAATAATGTGCATTTCAATTATAATGTTTCAGTCTTTTATATTTCTCTTTATATCCAGTTCTTCTATAAAAATATAATTGCATAACACAAATATGATACTTCGTTATTAATCACGCAATGAATATTTTCCAGTATGCGATTTTGGCAAGCAGGGGTGCGATCGCGAACTGAATAACGCCATTTTGCTCGGATCCACCATCGCGGTTTCTCGTTTCGTTTCATCCCCGAATTTATTATACGCGGAAACAGACGGCCTATCATCCAACTGTGGCGCCCATTACATTCATATATCCAGCCGTCTCATCATTAGTTCCCCCCATCAAAGAGCTCTCTTCGATAGCAGGGGGTCCTTCGTTTATGGCCTTTCAACGCCATCACTCCTACCACCGCCCTTTCGTTCTTCGAGTAACCTATACCTACCTTTCCTTCCTTCACCATTCCCTATACCGCAAGAACACCTGCGCTCCGAATTGATACATGCTCGCATTTATACATTACTCGTTAATAGAAAAATCAAATCTGTGCGTCTACAGTTCCCCACAAATCCTGTCAGTTCGAATGAAACTTTATTTAATCGTTCGTTGCGTTCCAGCCGAAAGTACGAGCTATTTAATTGGCAGGAATGTCATACATAAAACAGGCTATACCGCAATCTATGCGCTCGTGCGTTTCTCTTTAAGTATAAACTATTTACCATATGCACAGACGGAATTTTGTTTAGTTGCTCCTTAATTACTTGAAAATATTCTCAATCCGTAACCGTATGACAAGCTTAATACTGAAATAATGCGATTCGATTTGAAAATATGCACTTCCTTTCAGAAGTCTTTCTATTCCAAATCAATTAGCTACTTTAAATGAAGGAGCGCAATATGTATAAAAATAAAAAAAAATCAGTCAACAAAAATAGCCATATAGAATAATTGATAATACTTTCATTTCATTAGAAAAGATCTTGTATGCATTTTGTATTTGCATGTGCTTATTCAATAAATACATTCTTGTATATCTGAACACATTCTAATACAGCTTTCAAACCTCTTTAAAGATAAAATTTTTGTTGATTAACTTTACTGAGATATCTAAAACATTTGCAAATATTGATAAACTATGATTACCTGTAGACGCAATGCTGTTTACTTATTTCCTATTACTCGTTCTGGCAAACTCGTCCCATCGAGGGACGTGTCGCGTTCAGCTGAAATACCGGAACGCGGCGGACGATTCGACGCAGTCTAAGAAGAGGCAGGATTCGGGCTAATTATAATATAAAACTTGCCGCGCCTTGTCGCCTTTCGTGTTCCTCCGCGATTCCTTTTCCTGTCCGTTTCCCTCGGGAACAAGCTTGCGCCGCTCATCCGATCACAGCCGTTCCCAACCATCCACCGCCGTCGCTCGCGATAAACCTTAGCTAATGCGTTTGCATACAATTTACTAGGTTTCATCAAATTTTGCTCGGTTCTATCAAACTTTATATTGATGACGTTGGGTATTTCATTCGTAAATCTTAATGGACATATAATTAATATCATAGATATC